GAGATGTTTATTTATATTTGAAGACATATTAAAGGCTTTAACGCTTGTTTTCGACTCGCACTACTATTCATGATTGAACAAAACTTTTGGCAGGTACTGTATGAAAAAGTATGTTTAATGAACAAGAGTCGAGAGTATAATGAGCTTTTTTCTTCTTACCTACGATTTTGCCAGCGCGCATCCAAGACATTCGCAGGGGCACATCGCTAGAGAATGTAAATGAAGTATAGCAACCGTTGTTTTTTAATTTTGTAAAATAATTTTCTTTCAAGTCACTTGAAAAACGTGTTGTTGAAAATCGTTATCATAAATTAATTACAATATGTTTAATCAAAGGTAATGGCAGCTAAGTTTTACTGGGCAGCGTATCAAATTGTCATTAATCATTCATTCGAATTAAGCTTCATTAAAAAAAAAAACGGATATCTGCAGAAATCAGCAGCCGGTTCTTAGAATATTACTCATTATCTTGTCTAAACATTTTCTCCTTATTCATAATAAAGCCGTCATAGAAATAACGAACGGATAATATATTTTTGATACTAAATAGGTAGACCAATCAAAGTTTTTAAATCATTGCCAGTTACATTAAGTTTATCTTGCTACAACTGTTTACAAATTTCGATTTCATTTTTTATATTCGGTAAGTCGTCAAATTAAAGTTGAATCAGACAAGANATTTTTACTGTAGGTACGTTCCTCTTTGGAGAAACTATTCCACCCCCTAATCGGTCAGAAAATCAGTAAATCAATGTATTTAAAGAAGTGGCAACACTACTACTACGATGTACTAGAGTAATTTTATCTTCAACAAAATATTTTTGGCGCCATAAATTTTTTAGTAATCTTTATATGGAGGAAGCATAAATATTAAACACAATATAATAACTTTATATGAAAGTAACATAAAAAACGCTATATTTGTAACAGATAAATAGTTAATCGTATACACGCGATTTTTTTATACCAAATACAATTGTTTGGAAAGTAATCATCTACCAAAAAAAAAAGTACTATCTAATCTCTAATGGCGAAGCAGCAATTTCGAGTACAGTTTAAGTAGAATTTGTAAATAATAACTTTATGACTACAAAAGGACCGCTAAGTGAAGATTAACGACTATAATTGTAAAGAATTTATTATCAATATTAAAATTTGAATCGACGATCCCTCTAAGAGGTTTCCGATACCTTTCGCTAGACGGTAAATTCATCGTCAGTAGGGAAATAATTGCAGAAAAATTTGCACATTGGGGGTTTCCGGGATTTTGGCCATGATCTAGATTCAGAATTACCAAGCTATCTAGACAATGTCAACAAACCCGGAAACCTCCAATGTCCAAAAGCCTACAGTAATTGTAATTAAACTTATTAATCAATATTATCGACGTCTCGCTGGACCAAGGACGGGTTTCCCATTAATAATTTTGTACAAAACATCAGCTGTAGATATATAATTAGTCAACAGAACATGTAAAAAATAAAAGGAAAATTCCCTATAACTAGAACATCCCATATCCTTAACTATTTGCGAACAGTAATCTAATATAGGTCTACCTCTACTCCTCTTAACTCCTGTTTCTGTCTCTAATATGTCTCTGACTAGACCTTCATGCCTAAAAAGGTATCCTACCAACCTGACTCGCCTATTTCTTATTGACTTCCATAGAGTCCTCTATTCTCCTATTATATCTAATCCCTCTTGATTTCTAACCTTTTCTATCCATAGTATCTCTCTATGCACAGTATGCATTGAATTTAACCCTAGAAAGACTCAAAGTGCCCCAAAAGCTCCTCAGTTTTTGGAGTAACTAGGATTCCCTTAAATTTTTTAAAAATTAGTCTTAAGCGTCACGATCACAAATGAAGAGATTTCATAATTATTTTTCAAAATTTCAGAAAATTGTTGTGCTTCCATATATACTTCAGAATATATAAGCTGATGTGTTTTTTCTATAAAAATCATTTTTAAACTAAAAAACCATTAAAATTTTTACAACAATATTTATTATCCAAATTTATGATGACAAAAAAAATTAGAGAAAACTTAAATACTTGGATTATACTTTATCAGAGAAAAGAATCAATAAACGACCAAAGTCATTTTATAGTTTGTTTATTTATTTGAACAATTGATTAATAATTTTGAGTATATAAGCAGCAAAACATTTAGATACATTCATAAAACGAAAATACGTCCCAACAGCAAAATGTCGAAAACCATTTTATTTTTCTTCGTAATCGTTTGCATTTCTGGTAAGCAATTTTATTAACGCTTTTAAATATGTACCACCTGTAAGAATAGTGATCAGAAATAGAGAAATAGAAGCATTAGAAATCGTCATCATAATTTATGATTAATAAAATTTCTGATCACTCTTTTTACCATCATAGAAAGTTAAAAATAGATATTTAAACTGATCTACAATTCCAAAAAACCGCAGGGTAGTTCTTGTTATCTCTTTATTTTTTGGAATCGAAGAGCAGGTTAAAAAGATATTTTTCAAGTTTGTATAATGGTAAGAAAATATTATTGCAAAATCCTGAAAACTGATTAATAATTGATTTTTAACAATTAGCTCGTAACTGGAATCTCTGTCTTTAATTTCAAATCATTTCAAAAATAACTATCGTCTTTAGATATATATTAACAAACTTACATTCAAAATCAATGCAATAAAAATATGAAAACTCTCGTCTTGCTTCGTACTTTGCACCATTATTAAAAGTGTAGGTCCAATAAATACTAAATTTATAGGTTTATAATATAATCACAGTGTTTAAATGCTTAAAATTAATGTTCTTAACAGGTGGATTTTGGGAGAGGAGATAATGAATAACGATAATCAATTTAATCGTTTGTATTAGTGCGGATATTTCATGATTGCTTTTGCATTTTCCAAGTTTTCATGGAGGTCCAATTTTTCCTTTTACAGATTTTTGTGCTTCCTTTAATTTGAATGTATAATATTTTTTTTACATTCTACATAATGGTTAAACTTAAGGCACTGTTTATTAAAAGAAATATGAAGTTGATGTTTTTGAAACCGTTTACATTATGCATATTATATTTTTTTCAGGTATCCTTGCCAGACCTAACCCGAAACCTAAAAGTGGTAAGTAAATTATAATTATTATTTACTATATTTAATCTGGGACTTCTACCGCGTAAAAAAATATTGGAAAAGTGGCATAGATCTATTCCATTACTAAATCTGGTTGGACAGGCACCTCCACTCTTTTCTATCCTGAGTTAATTTTCGCATTTCCCTAAAACTAGAACATCCAACATCCTTAACTATTTGTGAACAGTAATCTAATCTAGGTCTGCCTCTCGGACTAGCACTTCACGCCTAAGAAGGTATCCTAATAACTTCATCATCATCGTAAGGTTGTCAGTCTTAAGACTAGTTGGACACGCACCTCCACTCTTTCCTATCCTGAGTTAATTTTCGCATTTCCCTAAAACTAGAACATCCAACATCCTTAACTATTTGTGAACAGTAATCTAATCTAGGTCTACCTCTACTCCTCCTAATTCCCGTTTCTGTCTGTAATATGTCTCTGACTAGACCTTCATGCGTGAGAAGATATCCTACTAACCTATATCGCCTGTTTATTATTGACTTAGTTACTTCTCCTATTCTTTTTAATACTTTTTCATTTCTATAACCTTCTCTATCCACGGTATCCTCATCATTATTCTCCGCCGTGCTCACCAACCATGTTTCGCACCCGTACAGGGCCGCACTCCAGACGTACACCTTTAACAATCTTTTCCGAATTTCTGAATTAAGTGTTCGTGAGCACAGAACTGACTTCTTTTTGTTGTTTTAATGTCTCTACTATTTTCTTCCATCCTGACTTATCTGAGTAGATGCCAAAAATCAGGAACTTCTTCTAATTTTTGGTCTCTTATCTTTATATTCGCTCTTTCCCTATTACTTTTACACCCCTTACAAACCATTATTTTTGTCACTTACTCAGAAAAGCATAGGTATTACTAGATAAACTTTTTAATACCTATAACTTATTCTGTGCACGTGTTAAAGATGATGGCGATGTTTCCAATGACCAACATACAGTTCCCGGCGGAAATGGTGGTGATCCCATCCACAACCGTAGGAAAAGGGAATGTAAGAATTTAGTACAAAAATGTAGCATTTTTTCTATACTAAACCGTGAAATACTACAATATATTCAGCAATAATTATACAACTATTAGGAACCGAATAGCATAGATAATATTATAGACATTCGTAATATATATCTGTAACTTCTTGTGCTTTCAGTGCTTGCTAAAAATGATGGTGATGATGATGTCTCCCTTGCTGATTACCAAGAACCCGGCGCAAACGGATGTGAGTAAAATTGAATAAACCAAACGTGCCTTGAGTTTTTCTAAATAACAATTTTTCTTATTGTTTCAGCTCATGATCCCGGCAATCGTTTGGTAGCAAAAGGTAGGAATTTAGTCCCCCTTACCGTTATGTAAAAGAGCATTGAAAATTCAATTAGCAAACATTAAGAAAAAATGATTCTATTTGCATGAAAATATTAAACTAAATGGTATTAATTCGATATAATTTTGAGCTTTTGTTTTTTATTTTATCTCAGAAAAGTAATCCATGCAAATAAAATCCTTTTGCTTCCTTGGGAAATTTTTAATTCAATTAATTTTCTTTACTTTCAAGAGTATATTTTGTATTTTTTTGTGTAATAAAAACTTAAATGTCGATAGGGAAAAGTAGAACTAAATGCCATCTACCGATGTTTGCTGTTAGCTGTAATATTTCATACGTTTAACAAGGGCATTATAAAGGTATCTACTTACTAAACTGAATCCATGGTTCACTCTATTATATGATATCAATTTCATCCCTTAATTTATTCGAAATGTTACATCAGACTCACAATAAGGGACGAATTATTTATTTAACAGGCGAAACGTTAGACCTGGTTACAAAATAAATAAATTATTTATCCCTTATCGTGTCTCTGATTTAATATCTGCGTTACATTAAGTTTATCTTGCTACAACTGTTTCCAAATTTCGATTTCATTTTTTATATTCGGTAAATCGTAAAATTGGTCGAATATTTTATGATAATTCTACCAAATTTTGCAAATGTGTCTCGTAGAATTAGTTATTTAAATATTGAATACTCGTCTCTAACTCCCGAACATTCGTTTAAAAATCAGATATTATAAATGCCAATAAAAAAGAGACGAACAGACACATGGGTTATCTTCGGTTTTTTACCTAGTTACGATACTGAAAAAAATTAATCTATAGCAGTCAGATTATACATTATCAAACAAATTCTGCAGCTAAACTGAATTAATCAATTAATTAAAAAATCACTGTTTTTTTTTTTTAAAAAAATAGGATGAGTTTAAATAAACAATTAACAACGACGTATCTGATTACGCCTCGTAACCTGGAGGTTCAGGCTAACAAAAAGCTATACTTCGTTTAGTTTCTGTAGCGATGTGACCTTAGTTTGACCGGCGCAAAGTAGAAAAAAACAGCATTAGGCCAGAAAAGCAAGGAGACAACTCTCGGACAAATTCTTAACCGGTAAGGAGCGTATAGACCGTACAGTACTGCACGGAAAAATTGACCATTTTATCCACTACAATTGCATTGCTCAAATGTGCTATTATTGGTACCATTTACTACTGAAAATATCAACGAGATGTTTATTTATATTTGAAGACATATTAAAGGCTTTAACGCTTGTTTTCGACTCGCACTACTATTCATGATTGAACAAAACTTTTGGCANATATTAAATGCTATCTAGTTTCTATTGTCACCTACGATTAATACATATGCAAGAACTTGTAAAATTTGAGTTTCGTCGACTAAAAGAAAGTACTTACGTACACAACCGATCGTAAAAAATGTGATTACTAATACATAGAATGGTAGGATGAACGAAACCGATTAATTGAAATAATTGTTTGAAATCAAAAAGCAAGTTAGGTAAACCCTTGTAATCCTATCATCTGTTCTGTTTGCAGCTAACGACGATGATTCGTCATCTGAAGGCGATGTCATCCTCAGCCCTGACTATATCTACACACAAGGAGATGATAATTAAATATTAATGTATTAAATCGATCGTCATAGTCCCTAACTATCTATTTCATGTATATACAAGAAGAAGGTAATTAAACGTTAATGTATAAATTAAGTAAGAATATAGAAATAAATATTAGAAGTGCAATGGTGTTTTAGTTGAAGAATTGTAATGGGTTGTAATTTGTTGTAGCTAAAATGATACAAATTTCTAAAAATCAGTTAAATTTCCGGAAATGTACACTAGTACATCACCATCATCATCATAAGATCGTCAGTCCTAAGACTGGTTGGACACGTACCTCCACTTTTTCCTATCCTGAGCTAAACTTCGTATTTCCCTAAAACTAAAACAACCTACATCCTTAACTAATACAAGTAGCTAAAATACTATTGATAAAGAGATGTAGGTATAAAGCAATATAGTTACATTTACAGTGTAATAACAACAATAAAACTCAATTTCGAAACTATTTCGTTTTACAAATCTCTAAACTTTTCTTTGACACCACGCTCTCAGATCATCAACTACTATTGAGATTCTCATGTATTTATCGCTATTGTATAGTTACAATAAGTAATTTCCTAACTCATCAACTTATCAACGCCTAGGCTAAATCCTTGGACCTAAATAGCTGAAACTTCTCAAAAATTATTAGTAAAAGTTCCACGAATTTTACAATAATTTGGATTCTTTTAGACTTTTAAAAATTGGCAGCCCTTGTTAGTTATTCTTAAATTGTTGTGCTTACATATGTGCTTCAGAATACTCCAATATTTTAAAAGTTTTACAACAATATTCGTTTCTCAAAGATATGATAATAAAAATTAAAAAAACTGAACACTTAGGTAATATTTATATCAAGCAAAACAATCAATAATCAATACAGTTACATTTATAGTGTGACGTAATTGTAATAGGTAATCTCTTAACTCATCAACGCCCAGGTTAAATCCTTAGACCAGACAACTTCTCAAAAATGTTTAGTAAAAGTTCCACGACTTTTAAAGTAATTTAAATTCTTTTAGATTTTTAAAAATTGGCACCCCTTGTTAGTTATTCTTAAATTGTTGTGCTTACATATGTGCTTCAGAATACTCCAATATTTTAAAAGTTTTACAACAATATTCGTTTCTCAAAGATATGATAATAAAAATTAAAAAAACTTAATACTTAGGTAATATTTATTTCAAGCAAAGCAATCAATAACCAATCAAAGTTTAATTAACTTCTACAGTTTATTTATCTGAACAACTGATTATTAACTTTGGGTATATAAACACTAAAACGTTTACGTATCAATTAATGAAACAAGAATTCGTTCTAGCAACAAAATGTCCAAAGCCATTTTAATTTTCCTCGTTATCATTTGCATTTCTGGTAAGCAATTTTATTAACGTTCTTAAGTACATTTTGTACCACCAATAAGAAAAGTGACATAAGAAATAAAAAAATAAGAGCATTAGAAATTGTCACCGTAATTTACGATTAAAAAAAAATCTGATTTTGACCAAAAACTTGTTTAGAGCACACGGTAACTTTTTGTTTTTTCTTAATTTTTTGTAACCGAAGATCAGACTAAAATGTCATTTTTCAAGCTTGATTGATAACTAAAAAGCTGACAATATTTTTATAAAATTGTAAAAACTTTTTAATAATTGATTTTTAACGATGAGTTCGCAACTAAAATCTCTCTTTAGTAAAAAATAATTTCAAGAATAACCATCGTCTTTAAATATATATGTACCAACAGACTTACAATCAAAACCAATAGAATAAAAATAAGAAAAGATTGGGTTTGTTTCGTCTTTTACACCATTATCAAACGTGTACAATAAATACTAAAGTTACAGGCTTATATTATAACATGAAAACAGTGTTAAAACGCGAAAAATTATTGGCCTTTACAAGTGGATTTTTCAAGAGGTGATAACAATTTAATCGTCTGTATCAGTGTGAATTTTCATGATAGCAGTTGTTTTCATGGAGGTTCAATTTCTCCTTCTACAGCTTCTTGCGCTTTCTTTAAATTGTGTTTTATTTTTTTTACATTGCATGCAGAAAGGTTAAGTTCAAGACACTGTTTATTAAACCGAATGAGACGCATTGAACTTTTGTAGAGGTTATTCAATGTGAATTAACTTTACCCACTACAAATAAGTAGGGGCGCGGGTTCTATTCCCGGCTGGGGAGTGACAGTGGTAACAATTTTTCGTCTTTAATTCGAGGTTGTCTGTAGTGAGAAAAATTAATTCAAAAAACTTATTTACTAATGCACCACTTGAACGTAATTCTCATTAAGTTGGAAGAAGTTTGAGTTATGCTTATTCTAATTTTTTTCTTAGGTATCCTTCCCGGATGTCACTCGAAACTCAGATGTTGTAAGTAAATTTTAATTATTTTTACTAGCTTGGCGTAAAAAAATTAGAAAAGTAGCACAGACAGTTCATTACTAAATAAAATCGTTTATTGAAAATAATGACTTACTTAAAAAAGGATAGGTATTATTAGATATACATATTTAATACCTACAACTTATTCTGTTTTCAGCTAAAGCACGTGCTAAAGATGATGATTCCCATGAACATCACAAAGTTCACAGCAGAAATAGTGACGACCACACCCACAGCCGCAAAAAAAGAGAATGTGAGAATTTAGTACGCCCTACAACGGCGTAAAGAGCATTGAAAATTCAATTGACAAAAATTAAGAAAGAATAGGATTCTATTTGCATTTAAATTTTCACTCATCATCATAAGGTCGTCAGGTCTAAGACTGGCTAGACACGCACCTCCACTCTTTCCTATCCTGAGTCAGTCTTCGCATTTCCCTAAAACTAGAACATCCGACATCCTTAAAGGTGTATGATTAGGGCGCGGCACTGTACGGGTGCCAAACATGGACGGTGGGCACGGTGAAAAAGAAAAGGTTAGAAGCGTTCGAAATGTGATGTTATAGGCGAATGATGAAGATGACGTGGATAGAAAAGGTTAGAAATGAAGAGGTATTGGAAAGAATAGGAGAACAGAGGACTCTATTGAAGTCAATAAAAAATAGGCGAGATAGGTGGTAGGATACCTTCTCAGGCATGAAGGTCTAGTCAGTCAATATTAGAATCAGAAACATGAGTTAAGAGGAGTAGAGGTAGACGTAAATTAGATTACTGTTTGAAAATTTTGAAGAATTTGGAATGTTCTAGTTTTAAGGAAATGCGAAGAATAGCTCGGGATAAGAAGGAATGGAGGTGTGATGATGATGAATCTAATGTAGGTCTACCTCTATTCCTCTTAGCTCCTGTTTCTGACTCTAATATGACTCGGACTGGACCTTCTCAACTACGACCTATTATAACTTATTTCGTCTATTTTTTATTGACTTCCTACGTTCTTCTATTCTTTCTAATATCTCTTCATTTCTAACATTCTCTATCCACGGTATCCTCATCATTCGCCTGTAACACCACATTTCGAACGCTTCTAACCTTTTCTTTTCCGCCGCGCCCACTGTCCATGTTTCGCACCCGTACACCGTTGCGCTCAAACAAAAACCTTCAATAATCTCTTTCGAATTTTTAAATTAATCGTTCGCGAGCATAGATCGCACTATTCTCTGCTTTATATCCCTACTACTCCTTCCGTCCTGACTAGGAAGTCAGATTCCTAGACACCTAAAATCAGCCACTTCTAATATTTCGTCCCCTATCTTTATATTCCCTCGTTCCCTACTTTTATTCCCTTGCATACCAAAATTTTGTTTTACACTGTGTGGTATAATTAATTTGAAATTATTTTGACCGCTTCTATTTTATGTCAGAAAAGTAATCCATACAAATAAAAATTTCCTCTTGCTTCCTTATGAATTTTTCGATTCAATTAAATTATTGGGAGCATTTTCAGATAGAAATGTGCAATTGTTATGTTTGTCAGTAATTTAAAAGTAAGAACTTGTTAACTTAGCTACATAAAATAACCATTAAAAGCCGCAAAGCATCGATATCATCAGGTAAACGTATCGTGTTTTCAGTGGTCGCTACAAACGATAATGAACCCAGTGCCAATATCATCGACGTTGATTACTCCGACCTCACAGACGATGGTCAGTAGAATTGATGAAAATTAAAATCTCCGTTACTTTCTAAATAACATTTTTTCTTTTTGTTTTAGCTCACGATGCCGGCAATCGTTTGAAAACAAGAGGTATGAATTTAACACTGCGTACGACGTTGTAAAAGATTTTTGAAAATTCAATTAACAAAAATTAAGAAAGACACGGGTCCTATTTGCATGAAAATTTTACATTAAACGGTATAAATAAATTATTATTGATTTGACAATTTTACGGAAAATGGTTTGATTTTAAATCAATTTATTTTTTTGTACTTAATGTTATCTAATTTATATTTTCACCTATATCTACCTGTAGATATGTAGGTACTTGTAAAATTTAAAATTAATCTATTAAAGAAAAGTACGCAGACAACCGACCATATATCAATAAACAAACCAGATAAACTGTTGTAGCAACTATCATCTGTTTTGATTTTAGATAATGACGATGCCGACGCGGATATCGACCTCGAACGTGACTACATCTACACACAATGAGATGATAATTAAATATGAAGGTATTAAATACAATACACAAATAAATATTAAAAATGTAATAGTGTTTTAGTTAAATTGATTTTGTTTTTGTATTGTTTAGATGTTCTTTTTCTCCATATTTTAAGGCTCCGCTATATTGGCCTACGTATATATACCATTCATCTGGCGTAACACAACTAATATCCGTTTTTTTTTATTGTGAACCAATCTTAAATTGTTTTTTTTTTTTTGGACTTCCACTGTTTTCATTCTAAGTTTTATTAATCTGCTTTTAGTTTAATAGCTTAAATTTTGTATTTGAATAAATAACATTTTCTTGCTACCTATCTATTACTTATTTTTAATTTTGGCAAATATATAGGGAGCATATAAACAAGAATTATTGTAAAGATGTATTGAACGAATTTTGGTCAATATTCTTAAATTTGTGTTATATGGAATGAAATTGGTTGAATTCTCAGCTGGTTAATGAAGAACCGGGTAAAAGAGTAGCTTTATCTTCGATTTTTTTTTTCACTTGTCAACCTCTTCAGACAAATGTTAATCGTAAAAGCACTCGTCAATAGTAAAAAATACTATGTAATCAAGTAGCTATAGTTGGGAAATTCAAAATCGGTATAGTCCGTAATAAAACTGTTAACTAATTAGATTAGAGGGGTTGCTGACAGAACGGCTGCTTTTACTTACAGTAACGCAAGGAATATCGTAAACATAGAAAAGAGATGCCAGGTAGAAATTGCAGCGGACACTAATAAAGAAAAAGGAATAACATTACACCAATTAATGTGTAACTAGCAGAATTTGAGCATGTTGCCAGCATCAGACTTTAAAGAGAGTTCAACATTCTTAGGAATTTTGGAAATCAAAGACACTTGTTTAAAGATACAATTCCAACCAGGCCGTTATAAAGCCGACCCTGATCTTTTGCGTATTTAAGAGACATCTAACAGCTACACTGTTTAGTATTATTCGATTATGTCTTGTCACTTTGTCTGTACTACTCATGAAGCGTTTGCTAACTTAAGGATGTTTGGGAGGTATGTCAAAATGCTACGAGACAAATAAAAATTTGGAAGAACGTTCCTCATTCAATTTTAAAACTATTGTAAAAATTATAAACTGATTCACTAAACCGTTAAATAGTTATTGAAATTTAAAAAAAAATGTAATTTTACGAGTCATTTTATGGAGATTCGTTAACCGAACAGATTAAATTTATTTTTATTAACAGAAAAAAAGCTACCAGAAATTTCAAACTTTTATAATAAGTAACTTGAACTCTGGGGAATCACTTTAGCGTAAGGTTATTCAAATTCACTAAATGGTTATCGAGGAAAAAAAGAAAAATTGGCTGAAAATCTCGTTTTTACTTGATAATATAATGACAATATTTATAATTGTCTGAAATAAATGCAATTTTAAAGTTTTAATTATTATTTAAACATATTAAAAAGTTTTACGTTCATTATTAATAGAGATTGAAACTAAATATTTTTTTGTTGAAATCAAGGCATATTCACTGTCAAAAGTCAGTTAAAAATTTTCCATATTATTCGTTATTTCTTATTTTATAAATATTTTTTTGTTGAAATCAAGGCATATTCACTGTCAAAAGTCAGTTAAAAATTTTCCATGTTATTCGTTATTCAAAATAGTCAAATTCCAAATTTTCTCTCAAACCGTATACTTTTTTTTAGTATAGATAGTATTTATTTACCGCATGATATGCTACAAAACCTAATTAATCACGAATTTCTAATTTTATGTACTCTTGTCTCTGATTGTAGCTCCCAAACATCCTTAAAAAGGGCTTCTTTAGAATACATCAAACGACTACAGTCCCAAGTAGAAATAAGAAAGATACGTCCATTTTCACAGATAAATAATTTATTGCAGATTTCGCCAATTTTAATCGTCCCAATTACAGTAAGCAATTTTTCCTTCGCTTTCTTTGCTGGAAAATACTACAATATTAAGACCAATGTTTGCTGTTTAACCTGGCGGATTCGGTACTTTTTTTAAAAACCCTTGCTAATCCAGCAAAAACATTATTATTTTCAAGTGTTAATTGTTTGAAAATTCATTTCGTAACATAATAAAAAATTATCTAGGTAAATACTAATTCATCTACAAGCGTTTTTTTATACCAAAATATCGTTAGTTGGAAAGCAATTATCCGTTCATAAAAATATAATATCTAATCTCTAATGAAGAAAACACCAGTATCAAGTACAATTTATGTAAAATTTAAAAATAATAGTGGTACCAAGTTATATAAAAACAGGAATTAAGTCTCGAAGATTATACCGGCTTTTTTCGAGTATGTTCTAATTTTCTCCCCTAAATTAGTCCCCCAAATGTATAGTTACAATATTACAATAAAAAAACATTTTTTTTGTGATGTAACAACAAAGTTTCGGATTTTATCCTTTACTTATGTTATGAGACCCTACTTCTTGTCAAATTTTTAGCTCCGTGGAGCTCTTCTTACATTAAAGTATATAGTCAACAAGGTTACGTTATAAAATAATTTAAAATTTGTTTTTTTTGTTTATTATTAATTATTAAAGTCGACAACAATTGAAAATAAAACAAAAGGTTTTTGTTATCGATATCTAACATTATGTATTAATAGTTTGATGTCTGAGAACGACATTAATTAAGTGTAGGTACTCTCAATTTTTTTACGCCATTTATTTATAAAATATTTACAAATAAGCAGAGAACTTGAATATTTTTAATATTATTTTGTGTTTGATTGTTAAGAGTATACATATATAATAGTCATCATCAACAACATTTTTTTTAATTACTTGTAAAATAGACTCAAGATAGTTGATCGATTGGAATTCGTTTGTGAATTCTAAATATGAAAAAGACAATGGTCCTGAATGATTATATTTATATTCCCAATTATTTCCTGAAGTTTCTCATATCTAAGTTTCTTTTTCCGTATTGTAAGCAATATGTCAGCTTCCGGTAGCGTTACCAAAAGGTGTCGCTGGTCGCCGTATTGATCGCCGCTTTAGCCACTCGTTCATAAAGATACCGCCTTTATTTTGAAACGCAATTGTATTTTATGGTAAATAACTTTTCAAAAATGTTTAGTAAATATTCCACGGATTTTGGAGCAGTTTGGATTTTTTCTTTTTTTTTTAATATTGACAACCTAATTATTTCATAATTTTTGTAAAAGTTCCTTGAATTGTTGTGCTTCAATTTGTGCTTGTTAGTTGCTGTGTTTTTTTTTTACAAAATTCATTTTTAACTCAAATAATTTCAATTATAAAACAATAGCCATTCTCCAAAGATATGATA